AAAATTCCTTTAATAGAAAAAACAGCCACAACAACAATAACTTGTCTAAAGGAAAACGAAAAAATCCGTAGTAAAGGAGGTGGAAGTAGAAGCAGCAGCTCAAGACAACAATCCAAAATACTACAAATGTATGTAGTTTTATGTGTAATTTGTGTGGGTGTATTGTGAGACTTTCTATAGCATTTCTAAATTATGAATGAAAGTTTTATTTTTTTTCCTCTCTTTTTTGTATTATTGTTGTTTTTTATGTTTATTGTGTTTGAGTTGAAGTGTGTAGTTAGTGTAGTGTCCAAAACGCCCACGTTCGTTAAAGCTTTTTTCCAGCATTTTATTGTTGTTTATTTTATTTTTTAACATAAACATACCCCCACATTTACACAAACACACTTTTAAATGTTTAACAGGATGATGATGATGGGGTAGAGAGGGGGATACAAGGGGTTGTGTAGGTTTTATTTTTATTATTATTCTCTATTTGTTTGATTGTTGTTGCTGTTTTTAATGTTGCTCATACTTACTGTTGTTGTTTTGTTTTTAGCACCGTAAGATGGGCACAAGTGTCTGTCTGTTTGTGTGTGTTTTCTTTTTTCTGTTGTAAAGTTTGATTATTTTGTGGGGGTGTTGTTTGTTGCTCTTCTTATTGTTGGTGTTATCGATTTGCAAGTTTAGTATGTTTGTACACACGTGCTTTTTGCTTAAGTTTTTCTGTTGTTGTTGTATGGAAGAGAAGATTAAACCAAACGTAAAGCAACTGTAAACAAAAGTATGACCATAAATCGTTATTTTTTTTTGTTAGTAGTTGTTGTTATTCTTATTGTATAACAAGGTCTTGACCTACGAAATCATCATTTAACGTCTACAACAAGGATGGGAAATGAAAGGTTTTTCATTGGTGTCTACTTATAGAAAAAACTGTAATACCAAGATTTTTGTAAAAAAAACTTATATTATATATTTTTTCTATATAAAAAATGTTAGGTACATTAGGAAAACTGTTATACTACAATGTTTCACATATTTTTCTCTAGAAAAACCGTTGTACACGCCATTTTTATGGAAAGTTACTGTTATTCACAAAGAAAAAAACTGTTATACACAAATGTTTTTATAGAAAAAACTGTTATACAAAAAATTTTCCATAGGAAAACTGTTATACACAATTTTTTCTTAAAAAACTGTTATATTTTACTATTTTCTATAGAAAAACTGTTATACAAAATATTTTCTATAAAAAAATTGTTATAATTTTTTCTTAAAGAAAAATTTTTATACAATTTTTTGCTAAAAATATCTGTTTAATTAACTATTTTTCTATAGAAAAACTGTTATACAAAAAAATTGTATAGAAAAATCTTTTATACCAACATTTTTTTCTATAGACTATACAAATGATAGAACTGTTATACACATATTTTTCTATGGAAAGAACTGTTATACACAATGTTTTCGTTTATAAAACTATCATAAACATTTTTTTGGAAAAAAACATTTGAACATAAATTTATCTATAGGAAATAAAACTGTTATACAATATTATTTTCAGCAGAAAAACTGTTTAACTGAAATTTTTCTATAAAAAAAACTGTTATACACAAATTTTTTATAGGAAATATAGAAACAAACTATTATACTTTACTATTTTCTGCAGAAGAACAGCAAAACAGAAATTTTTCTATAGTGAAACTGTTATACATTATTATTTTCAGCAGAAAAACTGTTAAACTCAAATTTGTCTATAGAAAAAACTGTTAAACAAAACAATTTCTTTCAAAGAAACTGTTATACACACAATTTTTATAGGAAATATAAAAACGAACTGTTATACTTTACTATTTTCTGTAGAAAAACTCTTATACATAAATTTCTCGATAGTAAAACTTGTACAAAATTATTTTTACACAAAAAGGATTTTACACGTTGTTTTCTATTCCAAAAACTGTTCTATTGAAAAACACTTCTATAGATAAAACTGTTAAACGTAAAATTTTCTTAAATGACAGACTTTTCTTGTGGCTTCGCTGGTAGTAAATATATTTTGTATGGCAACACCTGCCCATTAGCTTATTAAATACACAAACTCTTGTATCGCAGACACAAACCACTGTTTGAATTGCCAACCCAATTCAAGAAAACTTTTCAAAAAATGTTGATACACTTCTACGGAATAAAATGTTTGATAAGCTTTTGTTGTATAAAATTTTTGATTTTTGAAACATTTCTTTTTTAATATTTAGATTTTTTAAAAAAATTTTCATTAACTAAGTTTTACATAAATATTTTACACAAAAAGTTTAAAAAATGCCACTCTTAACTTTCTTAAGTGTTACTATTTCACAATGAATTGCTTAGATGTAAAAGAAGCATTCATATGTATGAATGACAGTAAACAATGGGAAAAAAATAAAACGTAAAGAAGAATAAGTAAAGTGAAGGGTTGCCATAAAACAAAAATAATTATTAAAATGATGCAGATTGTGAAGGCAGATATGATAAAAAATATGTTTATAGTTTATTTAATTTTTCTTATTCTATGGTTTATAAATTTTATTAATAATAGTTTTTTATACTTCTTGATCCTATTAATACTGAAGTTATTTTTAACTCATTTCGAAAACAAATTCATTTGACTAAAAAATGTCCATGTTATTTTAGTTCTGTGGCTTTATTTTGACTTTTCTTATCTGTACTTTTACTGTGGTTTATTCACCTTGGCAACTCTGATAATGAGTTCGTTTACCTGGTCTCTGCTTTGAATTTTTTGATATTTTTTATTTTTTGTTTTTTTTTTTTTGGCAAATATACGTATGTTGTTTCATTGTCTGGCGGGTACAAGTTATAATAGCGCGCAAGTTAATTGAAAACAATTAAAACAAAAAATACAATAAAATCGAAAAAAAGTGAAAAATCAAAAAAATCAAGTCAAAACATGGAAACTTTGGATAACAAACCAAAAGATTTAAAAGAAGAAATGGCAACAGCAGCCGCCGCCGCAGACGACACAGTAAAAGTTAGCAAAAGTGAAAGTTTCAATGAGCCAGCAAGTTCCGAAGAGTTAGAGGAGCCTGCTAACAAACGTACTAAATTATCCGAAGAGGGAGCAGCAGCGGTGGAAAAAAGTGAAACCACGATAACCACCTCAACGGCAGATGAATTACAACAGGATGATTTGGTTACCTCCACCGTGGGCCTTAGGCGTTTTAAACGCATACCCATTTTTATAGTAGACTATCATAATGATGTCTTGGAATTCATATATCGCTGTTTGGCCAGTCGTCATTTGGCTTTGGAAAATAATACTTTGCTGCATTTCGACTCCCACCCCGATATGGTTATATCACGTGAAATACCTGCCAGTGCAGCCTATGACAAAGAGACCATGTTGGCGGAGCTAAGTATTGAGAATTGGATTATGCCGGCCTGTTATGCGGGTCATTTTAATCGTGTCATCTGGGTGAAAAACTCCTGGTGCAATCAAATGCCAGTGGGCAAGTATAATTTCAAAGTGGGTCACAAAGAAGACAAAATCAGTGTAGACTGCTGTTTGGACTATTTCATATCGGAAGGCAATTACTGTCAAACCTCAGAATTGGAACAGGCTCGTGATTTGGAGCTTCAAGTGGTAAATGCTGATACCGAAAATGCTCCTAAGCCCCAGGAACTTTTATCGTCCGAGGATGCCTCTAGTTATATATTGGATATTGACTTGGATTTCTTTAGTACATCTAATCCTTTCTTGGAAATCTATAAAGATGCCAACTGTTACATGCAGCTAAGCGACATATTTCATTTTGAAAGTGCCACTGAGGCCAATGTCATAGGCACCACAGAAAAGAGAAAACAACAATTGGAAGCCTTAAAGGCTATATTTGAATACTTGGAAGAAAAACGAACTTTTGAGGGACTCGAAAGACCCAACACGGACATAGTATCACAGGAAGTTTTTGAAAAGATAGAAAAACTAGCCGAATCTTTGCAAAAGGTTTATGCTGACGATGAAATTGACTGGTTATTGATTTTTGATTCTGGCAGCACTACAGACACCAATGGCCTTCCCCATCATATTAGCACTGAGGCGGAGTTAAATTTATACTATACACAATTTAAAGAGTTCCTTAAAAACTTACCTCAACCACCGGTTCTAATAACAATGGCCTGTTCTGCTGAAGATGACTACTGTCCACGTAATCAAGTGTCCTCTATACAAGAAAAAGTAGTTGAAATTTTACAGGAAGTTTTTGGCGATAAAATACACGAGAAACCCATTTTACACTATATGGATGATGAATGGGATGTCATGAAGTTGTAAGAGAGCAGTAGGAGGAAAGAGAAAAGCTGGTGCTTGATGGAAAAAGATGATGGAATAAGAGAAAAAGGAGGGGATATTAAGTAGCAGAAGTATTTATACTTGTAGTGTTTTTTTTTTTTTAATTAGTACTTATTTTAAGTTATAAAATTTATAAAATTTTATGCAATTACTTACATACACAGACATACATATACATATATATTTAAACGTATAAAAAATTAAATCAAATATAATTTGATTAAATGACATAGCTGTAGAGCTAAGAGAAATAACAAGAATCGAAGATTGTTATTGGATAATCTTGGTGGCGTTTTATGGAGTTTTAACTATGAGTTCTGATAAAGAAAGCAATTCAATTTTTCTCAATAAATTTAAATTTATGACAATAATTAAACTACGAGTTCCATTAAAGAAAGCAATTAAATTTTTCTCAATAAATTTAAATTATAATTTTAAAACAAACAACACAATTTTTCCCAAAAAATTTATTATTTGTTAATTTTATAAGAAATTTTTCTTCTATAATTTTTAAAAATTATATTTTAAAATAAAACTATACAAAATTTTCTTACCCAAAGAAAAAAAATTTTTTCATTTGGATAAAATTTTTCAAAATTCGATGTATCAAATTTTTTATAAACTATTTTTTAAAGTAGTTAAAAAGTTTAAATTTTGATATGTTTAAAATATTTATTTAATGTAAAAAAACTTCCTTATATAAACGACATAATTCACAAAATTTTTCATGATTATGATCATCAAACTTTTCCGAATGCAAATCAGGCTCTATATCACAAATCCCCACCGAGGTATGGGTATTATTTGAAGAACAACTGTTGATAAATAAAAAAATATCTAAAATCTTTTACTAAAAACTTTAAAGAAATATTTTACTTACCTGGAGGCTATAGAAACACGACGTCCCATTGATTTTGAGTAAACTGACTCGGGAGAAGGTTTTATTATGGCTTCCTTAAAGTCTCTGGTGTGACAAACTGTCCGCTGTATACGTTTCTGGTTGGGGTTATTTAAACAGTCATCTGATCTAATAGTTTGTTGTGTGCAAGGTCTTTGATAAAGTATAGGTTTAATATCTTTAGCTAATTTATGATTTTGGCTTTGAGGTTTTCTTAAAAATTTTGTACAGTTTCTTAAGTCTTTGGAAGTATTGCTTAAATTTAAAAGTTTATCTTTTATAGAGATTTCGGTAGTAATTTCCACTTTAGGCGATAAAATACCCTGAAAATGTTTTTAATTTTAAAATTTATAGAATTTTAATAAATTTTTCTTACCGGAAACGCTGGTGTAGTTTTCATTAATATTTGCCTGGTATTAGAATGGGGACATTGTAATTGTGGCTCTATGTATTGCAGCAAATCCATTATTACTCCCTTATAGTACGCCAAACGGCGGCCATTTTGCCATAAAGTTATTTCTAAAGATTCCTTAGATAAATTGTTTATTAGGTGTCCTAGGGAGGGAGAATTTTTAAAATATCCCTCCATTTTAAAATGATCATGACACAATAAGGGAAAATAGGGTTCCAGAGCGCCCGTGCGAAAGAAATAACCCAAGGCCTTAATAGTGACCTCTAAATAGCCATGACTGCAAAGCCAAACGCCAGGACAAGTAACCTTAGCAAGTCAGGTGTTAGTATTTTAAGGATTTTGTGTAAAAAAAGTTTTTTAAATTTGACTTACAGCTTCTAGTTTTAAATTAATTTTAACCTGGAATCTTTGGTTGTCCATATTTGTTATATTCACTCCAAAAATTTATGATTTTCTATCTAAGGGGGCTTATGGGGAGCGAAGAGTATTGATAAACAAAATTTTTTGTTTGGTTTATAGGTTGCCAAGTTAACTAGCTCTAGCAACAAGCCCCCCATTTTCAAAGACATGCGTTTTACTCTATCCCCCAACTTTTTTAACCAAAACAAACCTGTTGCTTAATTAATATAAAACGCTTCTTTTAACTTCAACTTGGTTGTTATTAATTTATTATTTCTTATAAAATACCCTGTATGATTAACACTACAATATCTTAAACATATTCTAGTAAATCTAATTGATCAAAGATTTTCCCAATAAGATAGATAAATAAATTATAGGGTATAGCCTTTTCATATTCATGAGACTTGAGACGTCCTCTCAACTGCATACAAGATCTGGCAATATCCCTTAAAGTGCTGTGCACATTGGGCTCCAGCGGTAAATGCAGACAAGCCAATACCGCATATAACCAATCGCCTAGCCATTGGTCACTACAAGCTAAATCTAAAATTGCCACCGAAGAGGCAGCTGCTGATGTGGAAGAGGAAGCAGCTGCTATTGGTAAACCTTCGGCGTTAGTGTTCTCATCACGGTCACCATTTAACCAATCACCTAACATTATTAGCAGTTGTTCTAATGTACGTTGATTAAAACGTAAGATTGTGCTTAAGAGTGGTTGGTTCTCTTGGCAAAACTTTAACCAAGCCAACTCATCGGTTATCAAGGGTGGCTCCAATTTGTTGTCATAATTATTTTGTGCTAAATGCTGGCGTAGCATAATAATCTTAGAGCGTGTCCTTATGAAATTGGCTGATTGTATATTCTTCCATTCGATAGTGGGCAATAGATTGCCATCGGGTAAAACATCTACACAGCTTAACTGAAATAACAAATATTAAAACTTTTCTTTGAAAATGTATTAAATATCGTACCTCTTGTCCCACCAAATTAGTTTGAGCATTCTGTTCCAACTTCGTGGGCCGTTTGACCACCACCGCTGGACATTTTTTACGTTCGTATAGCATGTGCATTAAATACTCTTCACCACTTTGAGGCTGTTTTGAGGGATCGAAATCATCTCCAGGTGGTGTTATTTCCAAAGCCTGTTGTTGAAAGGTTTCGTTATCTTCCACTTCCATTGTTTTGTAAACAATTTATTGCTAAATAAAAATCGTTAGAAACCGTTCATTAATTCGAGGCCATCAAAAACAAACAAAACAAATGTCAACATGGGAGGAAAAGGGACAACAGAAGTTAGCAAAGTAAACACATTTTAAAAACAACAACAAACATAATGTGGTGAAAAGGTGGATAAGTAAAGAATATGTAGTTGTGGGCATTTGAAAAATGGGACTGTGAACTAGATTAGGCTAAACAATAGACTAGACTATATACTAGACAATAGACTATATTATAGACTAGACTATAGACTACACTATAGAGTGGACTATAGACTATACTATAGACTAGACTATAGACTAGACTATAGACTAGACTATAGACTAGACTATAGACTAGACTATAGACTAGACTATAGACTAGACTATAGACTAGACTATAGACTAGACTATAGACTAGACTATAGACTAGACTATAGACTAGACTATAGACTAGACTATAGACTAGACTATAGACTAGACTATAGACTAGACTATAGACTAGACTATAGACTAGACTATAGACTAGACTATAGACTAGACTATAGACTAGACTATAGACTAGACTATAGACTAGGCTATAGACTAGACTATAGACTAGACCATTGACTAGACTATAGACTAGACTATAAACAAGACTAGAATATAGACTACACTAAATACTAGAATATAGACATATTAAGAAAATTAACTTTAACTTTTTTTAATTTGGCACTCTCATATAAACAATGTTGGTTATTGTTTTTTACAGTGTTGTAAAATGTCATTTAATAAGTTTTTCTAACTATGAGCTTCTTTATATGTCTAGCTTATTAAACTGAACGCAAACAGTGCTGCACAGCGACAAAGCGTTAAGACGTTTAAGAATATATAATGTAAATAAAATTGTTTATATAGTTAGTTACCTTTCTCTTTTTAAATAAAAGTCTTTTAAAATGTTAATAATCAAATATTTTTATCTTTATTTTTTTCTTGGTTTTTATGCAAATGTTAATTTTTTCTTTTGTTCTTCTCATGTTTACATAATTTTATTAATTTTAAATTAACAATAATATATTTTTGTTGTTGTTCAAGTCAGTAATTTATTAAAATTAATTATTTTTTATATTCAACTATGGAAATATTTAAACATATATACATTTGGAAATGTATATATATTAAAATATTTTGTATATATTTTTTTCTTCTTTTTTTTTGGTTTAGCAAATTTGTAATTTAAATTAACTAAGCTAATTAATAAAATGAAATACAATTTACTTAATTTATACAAATACAAGTACAGCTATTGATTACCTTTTTTTGTTACGTAACTATATGATAATAATTTATTTAAATTATATATAATAATCATAATAATCAATACAAAACTTATCATCATTAGACGCCATTATTATTTAGTTAATAATATTAAAATTACATTAATTTTTGTTTAAGCATTTCATTTATTAAAGTTACTAAAACCTACTTATGGCATAAGGTAATTTTGAAAAGTAACAGGTTTTTTATAAAGAACATTTTAAATTAGTAAATAATTAAAACATATAATGCTTAGAGATCGATCGATTTACACTATATTGGTATGAGGAGAAATTTAAAGTATCGGGGTTTTTTAATTTTATGGTGAATTATTAGGAATTTTATAAATTTCTCCTCTTACCATGGTTCTATATAGTGTAAAACTTTTATTAAAATATAAAACATTTATATAAAAAAATATCAATTATTTTATAAAACATTTTTTAATCAAAGATATGGATACCACATTTAATTTAAAGTAGAAAAATTGTTTTATTAAATAATATTTTTTTAAGTTTTTTATTAAATTTTTTCTTTGCATAGAAAAGTTTTTTTTTAGTTTTTATAAAGATACATAAATATTTTGTTAATGGCTTTAGGTTTTACTTACTCTAATATTTTATTTATAAACTATTATTATTTGTTTTCGTTTTAATTTATTTAGTAAAATGTCAGCAATTTATTTTTAATTTATAATTTATTTTTAATATATTTTTTAAATTTATTAGCAATAAAAGTCTAGTATTAGATTTTTGGTAGGCATTTTTTAGAAAAATCAAAATTCAATTCGAAGCTTAAATTTATAAGTATTGAGATTGTTAATTACACAGGCACTTTAGTAAATAGATAAAAAAGTTATAAAGAATAAGAAAAATGGAGGAAATGGAGAAAGTTTTTTTTTAATAAAAATGGCAAGATTTGGGTTTAAATGTTCCCTTTTATGAGTAGTGGTCTAGTTTTAGAAAATATTGCATATATAAAAAGAAATCATGAAAATTGACCCTTGACACAAATTATTATCACCCAATTTTTTGGCCTCCGAATATTCTTTACCCCTTCTAACCAATAAACCAGCTACGCCTTTCTTTTTATATTGTACTATCAACACAGTGATAATTCTATCATTATTTCTCAAGGAAGAATGATTTATTATAAATAATTCTTAAAATTTATATAAACTGCAAATGCTAGTGACAAGAAAGCTAGTATGCCAGTCATATCCAAACATAATACCAGATTGTAAGGATATTTCACATTGTAGCCGAAAGATGTAAAAATTTCTTGTGAAACAAATAATTTTGTGTAACAATTGCCAATTATTCAAATGTCAGTCAAACTAAGAAGACTGCTGCTTCTACAATCTTATAAAATGTGTTAATTAAATAATCATCATTTTCTATGAACAATTAAGTGTCTTTTACAGCAGTTTACCAGGACTAGAAAGGATAATAACAATAGTATAAACATATTGCCAGAGTTTTGTTTACTTACGTAACGTAAAGCCAAACATTTTCACAAAAAAATTGTAATAATTTTTGCTTCAAACTCAAAAGAGATTAGATTATAAAATAGGCTATTGACTAGGCTATAGCCTAAATAGACTATAGCCTATACTGTGGACTAGATTATAGAGTAGATTAGACTATAGAATAAAATATAGACTAGACTATAGATTCGACTATAGACTAGACTATTGGCCAGACTATAGACTAAACTATAGACTAGACTATAGACTAGACTATAGACTAGACTATGGACTAGACTATAGACTAGACTATAGACTAGACTATAGACTAGACTATAGACTAGACTATAGACTAGACTATAGACTAGACTATAGACTAGACTATAGACTAGACTATAGACTAGACTATAGACTAGACTAGACTATAGACTAGACTAGACTATAGACTAGACTGTAGACTAGACTATAGACTAGACTATAGACTAGACTATAGACTAGACTATAGACTAGACTATGGACTAGACTATAGACTAGACTATAGACTAGACTATAGACTAGACTATAGACTAGACTATAGACTAGACTATGGACTAGACTATAGACTAAACTATAGACTAGACTATAGACTAGACTATAGACTAGACTATAGACTAGACTATAGACTAGACTATAGACTAGACTATAGACTAGACTATAGACTAGACTATAGACTAGACTATAGACTAGACTATAGACTAGACTATAGACTAGACTATAGACTAGACTATAGACTAGACTATAGACTAGACTATAGACTAGACTATAGACTAGACTATAGACTACACTATAGACTAGTACTATAGACTAGACTAGACTATAGACTAGACTATAGACTAGACTATAGACTAGACTATAGACTAGACTATAGACTAGACTATAGACTAGACTATAGACTAGACTATAGACTACACTATAGACTAGTCTACTATAGACTAGACCATAGACTAGACTATAGACTAGACTTTGCTATTGAACCTATGAACCTTTCTTTACTAGACCACTACACAATTTAATAGACAAATAGTTTTTTAATTTCCAATTGGTTTTACTAAGAAAATTTCAATATCTACAATAAAATAATAAAGCCGAAAAATAAAACCTTAATAGAATTTTGAGCATTTTTTAGTTGGAAAAGGGAAACCTTTTGCTTATAATCCCAATAAGCAAAAACCTTTGAAATGATGTAAATATGTATTTGAAAACCTATTCAAATTTCATACATAGCCTTTGAGAACAAATTTGAAAATTTTTGTTTTCAAATGGAAAATTATGGCCTTCTCAAACAAAAAGGCAGTTAGAAATCAAACGTATTTTTCAAATGTATTTCAAATTTAAAAAAAGGCTAGAGGTAAGCTTGAAACTAAAAAAATTTTCGAACGTATTTCAAGTATTCTTTATTATTATTTTCATACATATTTCAAAACCTAATTATAATGCTAACTATTGCAAAATTCATATATTTTTTTACATCACCTGAAAATAAAACATTCATACATTTATTTTAGCATATTTTTCTTTTATATCTCCGATTATTTCTCCTATATTTAACGTTTTTTCGTAGAAAAAATGTTCTGTTTTTATTTTTCTAAAATAATTTATTTTTTGAAAGAAACTTTTCTAAGTTCAATTAAAACAAAACTTTGAAAATTTTATAAATATCACACATTATATTTTTTAAGCGTTTTTTTAAATTATCATGTTTATTTCAAAGGCTAAACTTTAAAATTTGAAAACAATTTGAAAAATACATTATTTAGTTAAGAAAATTTTCAAAAATATTCTCAGGTTTGAATCGATGTTTATTGGGATTAATTTATGATAAATTGTAAAAAAAGCTTATAAATTTTTTTAAGAAAATAAAGTAAAATATAAATAGAAAAACACTACTCAGTATTTAGGCTATTCACAGTTGCTGTTAGGACAGTTACAAAACTGTATGTTATAAAGCAACTATAAATGTTTTATAAATTTGAAATTATCAATATTTAATTTAATTTTATTAAACTTTAGGCATTTAGAGTTGCATTTATCTTTCATTGAATTAGTTCTTTTTAAACTTGGCTTTTTTGTTTTAATACAGTTTTTCCTCTTTTTTCTGGGATATGTTAATTTATTTTTTATTTATTAATTAATGTTATCTAGTTGTTTAAAAAAGTTATGAACTTTGTTAACACATTTATTAGTCATTTATTGGTTTATTTTTTAGAATTTTTAATTTTTCTTCCAATATATTCTGTAATTTGGGGATTGTATCACAATTCAACATTTAAATTATTGATTTTATTTTTAGTTTTTGTGCTTTACTAATTTCTATCCTTTATACCCAATACTCTCCTGAACCCCGACAATGGCTTAGAAGCATTATTTCCCGTTAGTACGCTTGTAGATGTTAGTGAATAAGCATTTTGATATGTGACTGGGAAATCGGTCGGGGCCAGGAGTAAACCTCACGTTCGCACAAATTTATAGACTATCAGAAATACCATAAAAGAAATGGCCACTAAGATGACTGCTGTTATCACTTTGGCGCAGGTATTCAGACCGGATTCATTGGGATTTAGAGGACGCGAACTCATGCGCGTATTGGAACGCCTACGTTTGGAAGCCAGGCCGCGTGCTAAAGCCGGAAACGCTAGAGATTGTGTGAAGGTTAATTTGTGTATGGACTCACTTAGCGAATAGGGACCCACCGAACCTCGTGCTGCTGCTCTTAGCAGAGCATATTCCAAATCCAAAGCATCGAAGAGGGAGTAACGGGCAGTCATGGTCGAGGAGCGACGGCGTTCGTGACGTGAATCACGTTCGCGATCTGATTGCGGCTGTAGCCACGGATCGGAGACTCGCTGCTGCGCCCCCGCACCAGCGGCCGCTGCTAAGGCTGCTGCTGCAGCCGCAGAGGAGGAGGACTGGTGTGCGGTCACACCTCCGCCTAAGCTAACTGCGGCCACGGAGGTAAGCGACGACGTCGTCGACGACGAGGCAGAACAGAGACGCAAATTCATAGCCAGACCATTGTCATGAAACTCAGTCGCATCCTCGATTGAAGTTTGATCGGGCGATGTTTGGGCTCTCTCCAGAGCAGCTGTATGTTTCATGCGCAAAGCAAATAGACGCGCATGATCGGGATGTAGAAGAGCACTGGATTTTCGGCGATAATTTGGTGCACCTATACTTATGCTGGCTCTTGCTCCCATCCTATGGCCTCTAAGGGATAAATTTGGGGAACCTTGTGTGGGCGTGGTGGCAGGTGAAACATTACAGGAACTAATGGTTCCACAATCGACTATAGTGGGACCATTACCACTAATGCTCATTAAAGCTGACCCCGGTGGGGGCGGCAGAGCATTAGGTGAGGGAGAAGCCTGCACCGAGTCAATACCCGAATCTCCCGCATGCAAAGTATCACAGAATAGTGAATTGCGCCGATCCCCCGTATTCAGAGTCAAATGATTGCCCGAGGTACTATTGCTGCTGTTGCCCGAGGTGCTGGTAGTCAAAGTTGTCCCCACACTAGTGCTGGTACTGTTGCCGCCACCACTGCTACTGCTGGTGCTTGTCTCCGCAATGGCAGGGAAAATAAATGATTGGCCATCAGCCTCGCCCCTGGGAGAATCCTGCAATCACAACAATAAAACAGAAAAAGACACAAAACAATGCACATTAATACAAATGAAAATTCCCAGGCGTTAGTTTTTTTTTCATAGGAAGAGAATAATTGAGTGGAAAAAAGTGCATGATAAATGATTTGTGTAATTAAGTAAAAATACATATTTGTACATAAATAATTTTTTATATGGAAAAAAGTTTTTAAAAAAATATACATACAATGCATTAGTATTTAAAAATAGGAACAAAATGGAGGTGTTGTCAGTGTAAGGTGATTGTATATTAAAAGGATTTCTTTAGATACATATGTATCTTTTGGAGAAAATTTGGAGTTGTATAAATGGATCAGAGGAGCACTTGGTATCGGTCTAGTGGTGAAGTTTTATTTCAGTTCAGTTCTAGTTCAGTTCTAGTTCAATTCTATTTCAGTTCCAGTTCAGTTCTAGTTCAGTTCTAGTTCAGATCTAGTTCAGTTCTAGTTCAGTTCTAGTTCAGTTCTAGTTCAGTTCTAATTCAGTTCTAGTTCAGTTCTAGTTCAGTTAGTCAGTTCTAGTTCAGTTCTAGTTCAGTTCTAGTTCAGTTCTAGTTCAGTTCTAGTTCAGTTCTAGTTCAGTTCAGTTCTAGTTCAGTTCTAGTTCAGTTCTAGTTCAGTTCTAGTTCAGTTCTAGTTCAGTTCTAGTTCAGTTCTAGTTCAGTTCTAGTTCAGTTCTAGTTCAGTTCTAGTTCAGTTCTAGTTCAGTTCTAGTTCAGTTCTAGTTCAGTTCTAGTTCAGTTCTAGTTCAGTTCTAGTTCAGTTCTAGTTCAGTTCTAGTTCAGTTCTAGTTCAGTTCTAGTTCAGTTCTAGTTCAGTTCTAGTTCAGTTCTAGTTCAGTTCTAGTTCAGTTCTAGTTCAGTTCTAGTTCAGTTCTAGTTCAGTTCTAGTTCAGTTCTAGTTCAGTTCTAGTTCAGTTCTAGTTCAGTTCTAGTTCAGTTCTAGTTCAGTTCTAGTTCAGTTCTAGTTCAGTTCTAGTTCAGTTCTAGTTCAGTTCTAGTTCAGTTCTAGTTCAGTTCTAGTTCAGTTCTAGTTCAGTTCTAGTTCAGTTCTAGTTCAGTTCTAGTTCAGTTCTAGTTCAGTTCTAGTTCAGTTCTAGTTCAGTTCTGTTCAGTTCTAGTTCAGTCTAGTTCAGTTCTAGTTCAGTTCTAGTTCAGTTCTAGTTCAGTTCTAGTTCAGTTCTAGTTCAGTTCTAGTTCAGTTCTAGTTCAGTTCTAGTTCAGTTCTAGTTCAGTTCTAGTTCAGTTCTAGTTCAGTTGGAAAAAGAACTGCCCCAATATTTAAACTGGGGTCTTAAGAGGGCTTTTAAAGCGGATTTGAGGTGGTCTAGATGTGACTTAAATTCAGAGAAACCAGAAATATGCTATTGCGCGTTTTTCTATATTATACACTTTTCCCATATTTCCATAAAGCACCTTTTTGCAGCATACATATATCTGGTTTCCCTGCTTATAATACTGGTGGAGAAGGGGTTTATACAAAATTTTTATACAAATTTACATTATTATTAATTAAAAAAACCTTGGATACTTATAAAAAATACTACAATGTATATTCATCTTCATCTAATTCGAGGTACTTAGCAGAAGGAGTTAAGAAAAGACAAAAAGGGGGATTCACAAAAAAAAAAAGAAACAAATAAGTTAAAAAGTAATTAATTTTAAAAAAGAAGAAAACATGCAAGTTCTTTTTAAAGCTTTTTTATAAGAAAAATTACTAGAAAAGAGTTAAAAGGTAAAATAAGTAAAATAAATTGAAAAATACTCTTTGTTTAAATTTCAAATTTGTTGTTTGAGTTTTGAGAGTAAAAAACGCCTACCCTTTGACCTTCGGGACCGCTGTTACGACGCAACTGTATAAAGCCTTCCTGTCTTAAAAGCGGCTTTAACAATAAGGCCACAATAAATTTATTTTTGTACAATTTTTTTGTTTAAAACATTTGTGTTTACATTTTATACAAAAAGGATTCCATTGAAAGCGGTGTCATATTTATTCAGTTTTTTTTTTTTTTTGGTTTAAAAATGGTTTGATTTGGTTTTAAGGCGAACACACACATAGAGACGTAGACAACAGAAAAGAGCAACAAACATATTTATAACGAAATTAATTATATAAATTAAATAAATAAAATATTGTTGTTTTTGTTGTATGTTCAATGTTTTCAACAGTAAAAGAAAACTTAAATGTTGAAAATAAAATGCAAATTAGTTTTGTTGTTGTTTTTTTCAGATTTAATACTTTTTTTGTTGAAAGAATAAAAGTGGGTGTATGTTTAAACAGTGTTTTACTCGTTTATGTTTCAAAGCTTACCTGACTGGGCCACACTTGCAGCAGTGGCAGCGAACATGTAGGTTTATTATTTAAATTGTTACCACCGCCCACTATAGATGTTTTGACCTTTGACACACCGCCACCTTCGCTATCGGCCTCATGGCTGGGTGCACTTTGGGCTAGACTGGTATAGTGTAAATGATTAAAACGTTGAGCATCATTTGTGACCTTTGCTCGTGTAGGACTTTCGTATCCGGTAGAATCTTCGGATGATGTGGTTTTCGGCGAACGCCAAAATCTTTTCAGACGCAATTCGCGTCTTTTTTCTTGTTTCTAAATTCAGGGAGAAGGGGAAAATATTGATTATATAAGTTCTAGTTCAGTTCTAGTTCAGTTCTAGTTCAGTTCTAGTTCAGTTCTAGTTCAGTTCTAGTTCAGTTCTAGTTCAGTTCTAGTTCAGTTCTAGTTCAGTTCTAGTTCAGTTCTAGTTCAGTTCTAGTTCAGTTCTAGTTCAGTTCTAGTTCAGTTCTAGTTCAGTTCTAGTTCAGTTCTAGTTCAGTTCTAGTTCAGTTCTAGTTCAGTTCTAGTTCAGTTTTAGTACACCTATAGTTCATTTCTAGTTCAGTTTTAGTACACCTATAGTTCATTTCTAGTTCAGTTTTAGTACACCTATAGTTCATTTCTAGTTTCGTTCTAGTACAACTCTAGTTCATTTCTAGTTTAGTTCCAGTTCAGATCTAGTTCAGTTCTAGTTCAGTTCTAGTTCAGTTCTATCCATCAATATTAATCATACGCCTTGTAGTTTAAATTTGTAATAACCTATTTTAAAGCTTAACTAATTTTAAAAGAATCCATTGTTTTGCTTCTTTCAAAGAAAGTTTTACGAACAATATTAAAAATTGAAATAAATTGGCTTAAAATATTATAGATTTTTTTTTAATTTTTCTAAAATTTTCATAATAAGGTATTTTGCATACCAAAAATATCTTATTAAGGTATTTAGTTTTATCTTTACCCTCCTTTATGTTAATCTTTGTTGAAATATTCCATTGTAGTAGAACTTTGACATGACACAAGAAGTTTCTTTCACTTTGAAGTTTCTTCATTTTACTCCAGGCTATTTCGAAATTGTTGTTGTTATTGTATTTCATAAATTTATTACTTTTTTTGCTACTGTTGAAAATACCAGCAACAATAACAACAGAAATAACATTTTATCTTATGTATTTGACGTCTTTCTTGGGTTCTTAAGGTTGTAAATCTATAATTTCCCTTGAATTTAAATTTAAACAAAATTCTTTAGATTTTTGTTTTTGGTTCGTTGTTTTGGTGTACTTGGCCAATTGTTGTCGAATTGTTTAACCATGAAAGTTTAAATATTCTAAATTGAAAAATATTCTTTAATTTTCTTTGTTATTTAGAGAGGTTTTTAGGCAATTTTGTTGTTATATAGAAAATATTGAATTATTATAAATGTTTACAAAAATCTTGTATAACAATTTGTAAAGAAATAGGCCAAATTTTGTTTAAATTATTGAAAATTTAAAAATGTCAACAGTCAATCTTTAAGAATGAATTTAGTTCTAATATGTGTAGTATATCTCTCTAAAAATAAACTCTCTAGAAATAAACAGTTTTGTGTTTCAAATAAAATCTTATATCCTTAAAGGACAATTTTATTTTCAATTCATTTTTAGGAACTAAATACAAAAAACCTCACATATATCACCTCTAACAATTCTAACCGATTTATTTTATTGTTTCCTTTATTATTTTTATTTTTTTCATCCATTTTCAACATAAACTACTCTATACTCTACTTTCTACAGCACTTTCACTCTCCTGACACAAATTGAAAACAATTGTTCTTTATGTGGAGAAAGAAAACAAGAAAAGTTCAGTTTTATTTTTTTGATTCAGTTTTGTGCATGATGTGTATGTGTGTAAGTGTGTTTACAATTCAATGCAACAGCTGGCAACACTATGTTTAATGGGGCTGCCAATGCATTGCCTGTTGTTAGCCATCAATAATAGATTTTCAACGGAGGTTACAGCACAACAAAAAATGGAAAATATAGGAAAATAAACTCTAGTGATTTTGCAAAACAATGGCGGTGGTTATTTTGAGGTAAAATAATTTCCAATGTTTTGTTTACACACACACATACATACATAAACACACATATGTAAATATGTATGCCACAAATACATAAATGGATTTACCACAAGTTGGTAAAACATTTTTTTCAGAAATGTTTAAAATATAGCAGCAATTACTGTTTTTGTTTAGTATTGATTGAAATCTAGATCTGTTCCAGTTCTGTTTTAGTTCTATTCTAGTTCAGTTCTAGTTTAGTTCTATTTCAGTTCTAGTTCTGTTCTAGTTCTGATCTAGTTCTGTTCTAGTTGTGTTCTAGTTCTGTTCTAGTTCTGTTCTAGTTCTGTTCTAGTTCTGTTCTAGTTCTGTTCTAGTTCTGTTCTAGTTCTGTTCTAGTTCTGTTCTAGTTCTGTTCTAGTTCTGTTCTAGTTCTGTTCTAGTTCTGTTCTAGTTCTGTTTCTAGTTCTGTTCTAGTTCTGTTCTAGTTCTGTTCTAGTTCTGTTCTAGTTCTGTTCTAGTTCTGTTCTAGTTCTGTTCTAGTTCTGTTCTAGTTCTGTTCTAGTTCTGTTCTAGTTCTGTTCTAGTTCTGTTCTAGTTCTGTTAGTTCTGTTCTAGTTCTGTTCTAGTTCTGTTCTAGTTCTGTTCTAGTTCTGTTCTAGTTCTGTTCTAGTTCTGTTCTAGTTCTGTTCTAGTTGTTCTAGTGTTCTAGTTCTGTTCTAGTTCTGTTCTAGTTCTGTTCTAGTTCTGTTCTAGTTCTGTTCTAGTTCTGTTCTAGTTCTGTTCTAGTTTCTGTTCTAGTTCTGTTCTAGTTCTGTTCTAGTTCTGTTCTAGTTCTGTTTCTAGTTCTGTTCTAGTTCTGTTCTAGTTGTCTGTTCTAGTTCTGTTCTAGTTCTGTTCTAGTTCTGTTCGTAGTTCTGTTCTAGTTTCTGTTCTAGTTCTGTTCTAGTTCTGTTCTAGTTCTGTTCTGTTCTGTCTAGTTTGTTCTAGTTCTGTTCTAGTTCTGTTCTAGTTCGTTTCTAGTTCTGTTCTAGTTCTGTTCTAGTTCTGTTCTAGTTCTGTTCTAGTGTTCTGTTCTGTAGTTCTGTTTCTAGTTTCTGTTTCTAGTTCTGTTCTAGTTCTGTTCTAGTTTGTTCTAGTTCTGTTCTAGTTCTGTTCTAGTTCTGTTCTAGTTCTGTTCTAGTTCTGTTCTATTCTGTTCTAGTTCTGTTCTAGTTCTGTTCTAGTTCTGTTCTAGTTCTGTTCTAGTTCTGTTCTAGTCTGTTTAGTTCTGTTCTAGTTCTGTTCTAGTTCTGTTCTAGTTCTGTTCTAGTTCTGTTCTAGTTCTGTTCTAGTTCTGTTCTAGTTCTGTTCTAGTTCTGTTCTAGTTCTGTTCTAGTTCTATTCTAGTTCTGTTCTAGTTCTTTTCTAGTTCTGTTCTAGTTCTGTTCTAGTTCTGTTCTAGTTTGTTCTAGTTCTGTTCTAGTTCTGTTCTAGTTCTGTTCTAGTTCTGTTCTAGTTCTTTTCTAGTTCTGTTCTAGTTCTGTTCTAGTTCTGTTCTAGTTCTGTTCTAGTTCTGTTCTAGTTCTGTTCTAGTTCTGTTCTAGTTCTGTTCTAGTTCTATTCTAGTTCTGTTCTAGTTCTGTTCTAGTTCTGTTCTAGTTCTGTTCTAGTTCTGTTCTAGTTCTGTTCTAGTTCTGTTCTAGTTCTGTTCTAGTTCTGTTCTAGTTCTGTTCTAGTTCTGTTCTAGTTCTGTTCTAGTTCTGTTCTAGTTCTGTTCTAGTTCTGTTCTAGTTCTGTTCTAGTTCTGTTCTAGTTCTGTTCTAGTTCTGTTCTAGTTCTGTTCTAGTTCTGTTCTAGTTCTGTTCTAGTTCGTTCTGAGTTCCTAGTTCTGTTCTAGTTCTGTTCTAGTTCTGTTCTAGTTCTGTTACTAGTTCTGTTCTAGTTCTGTTCTAGTTCTTGTTCTAGTTCTTTCTAGTTCTGTCTTGTTTAGTTCTGTTTCTAGTTCTCTTTAGTTCTAGTTCTTCTTTTTAGGTCTGTTCTAGTTCCTCTAGTTCTGTTCAAGTCTATTCTAGTTCTGTCTAGTTCTGTTTTAATTCTGCTCTAGTTTCTGTTCTAGTTCAGTTCTAAATTTGTGCTGTATTATTTGACATAACTGTACATTCCTGCTGTCCATATTTGATAAAAATAGCAACAGTAACTAGTATATATAATACGTATATTGTATATTTACCTGCCTATTTAAAAATCAAATCTTTTTATTGCGGTTTTTCATCCCAGTCTCTCTTTATTACCCCTTTTGGTGACTATCAATTGGAAATGGATGCATACAAATATTTAACTGTAATTATAGTAGAGAGAATAGGTAAGAGACTGAATTACAATAATAATGATGGTTAACGACATGACTATATGTTTACAGGGTAAAAATAAACAGGAATTTTAATTATAATATAAAATAATTGCAAAGTTTTCATATTAAAAAGTTTAATTGTTTATTTGTACGCAAACGAGTATGTAGATGTATGTAAAGATAATCAAGGTAATGAAGGCAAACATTTTAATAATAATATTGCAATGAAACCAACACGAAATAAGTTTGTAAATGTTATTTTAAAATATTTTTGTAAATTGATAAAGTTAATTTTTGCATTTTTAAAATGCTAAAATAAAAGAGATCAATTTAATAAGAAAAAGATTAAAAACTAAAGGGTTTTAAACAAAAAACGTTTCAAAATTTTATTAAATATATAAAATTTAATCATTCCCCTTTAACTAATTTCCTTTTACAATTAACTATCATGACAATTTTATTGAAATTTATAACAAATAATTGAAGTCTTATCAGATTTTGTGTTTGATTGACTACAACACCCACCACCCATCACCTTTCTCCATTCTTTTGTTCTATTTGTATGGTAGCAAACAAATATTTATCAATTAATTGTTTTAATAATCTATTATCTTACTCTTGTAGTAAATGTATTTAATTTCTTATATGTCAATAAATATTTAATTGCAATTTTATCAGTCTACGGAAGTTATTAATTATAGTTTAAATTGACATCATCTGTTTAAGGTAAAATGAATATTAAATATTCTTTATTTCAATAATACAAATAGGATAAAGTTTATTGAAATTCTCTTTGTTTAAACTGTCAGCAATTGTATTACAAAATGTTATGGATTTTAAAGCGATATTTTATGAAATATTATTTGGATAAAGGCTTTTGTAAATTTTGCAATTGAAATTTTAGCAAAATGGTAATTAATTAAAATTATTTGTTAAAAAATATATTAAACACTTCTACATTTTTGTTGTAAACACGAAATTTTTATTCAAATCATTTAATGTTTTTTAAAGCTTAAACCTTTTATTCGTCTTATTCTACTAATAATAGGTTATTAACCACTACATACACACTTCCTTTTAATAAATCTGAACGTGTCCTTTTTCGATTTTAATAACTAATTTGAAACCCGTGCATTTACAAGGTAATTAAAAAACACAGAAAATATATTTACAGTTTTGAAAACCAACATTATCCTTTGTGTAAACTTCAACAACTAAAATAAAAAAAATATATCACGTATAATATAAAATTGATTGCTGGCTTGAGGCTTTAAAATTTTCAAGTGTGTATATACAATTTCAATAAATGTTGTGGTCTTTATTAATTTTAAAACATAATATTATTTTTAAATGTTAAAATGATTCAGTAATTTTCATAATATGCAACATTGGAATATATGTTCTAGTTCAGTTCTAGTTTAGTTCTAGTTCAGTTCTAAATTCAGTTCTAGTTCAGTTCTAGTTCAGTTCAGTCTTCAGTTCTAGTTCAGTTCTAGTTCAGTTCTAGTTCAGTTCTAGTTCAGTTCTAGTTCAGTTCTAGTTCAGTTCTAGTTCAGTTCTAGTTCAGTTCTAGTTCAGTTCTAGTTCAGTTCTTAGTTCAGTTCTAGTTCAGTTCTAGTTCTAGTTCTAGTTCTAGTTCAGTTCTAGTTCAGTTCTAGTTCAGTTCTAGTTTAGTTCAGTTCAGTTCTAGTTCAGTTCTAGTTCAGTTCTAGTTCAGTTCTATTTCAGTTCTAGTTCAGTTCTAGTTCAGTTCTAGTTCAGTTCTAGTTCAGTTCTAGTTCAGTTCTAGTTCAGTTCTAGTTCAGTTCTAGTTCAGTTCTAGTTCAGTTCTAGTTCAGTTCTAGTTCAGTTCTAGTTCAGTTCTAGTCAGTTCTAGTCAGTTCTAGTTCAGTTAGTCTAGTTCAGTTCTAGTTCAGTTCTAGTTCAGTTCTAGTTCAGTTCTAGTTCAGTTCTAGTTCAGTTCTAGTTCAGTTCTAGTTCAGTTCTAGTTCAGTTCTAGTTCAGTTCTAGTTCAGTTCTAGTTCAGTTCTAGTTCAGTTCTAGTTCAGTTCTAGTTCAGTTCTAGTTCAGTTCTAGTTCAGTTCTAGTTCAGTTCTAGTTCAGTTCTAGTTCAGTTCTAGTTCAGTTCTAGTTCAGTTCTAGTTCAGTTCTAGTTCAGTTCTAGTTCAGTTCTAGTTTCTAGTTCAGTTCTAGTTCAGTTCTAGTTCAGTTCTAGTTCAGTTCTAGTTCTGTTCTAGTTCTGTTCTAGTTCTGTTCTAGTTCTGTTCTAGTTCTGTTCTAGTTCTGTTCTGTTCTAGTTCTGTTCTAGTTCTGTTCTAGTTCTGTTCTAGTTCTGTTCTAGTTCTGTTCTAGTTCTGTTCTAGTTCTGTTCTAGTTCTGTTCTAGTTCTGTTCTAGTTCTGTTCTAGTTCTGTTCTAGTTCTGTTCTAGTTCTGTTCTAGTTCTGTTCTAGTTCTGTTCTAGTTCTGTTCTAGTTCAGTTCTAGTTCTGTTCTAGTTCAGTTCTAGTTCAGTTCTAGTTCAGTTCTAGTTCAGTTCTAGTTCAGTTCTAGTTCAGTAGTTCAGTTCTAGTTCAGTTCTAGTTCTGTTCTAGTTCTGTTCTAGTTCTGTTCTAGTTCTGTTCTAGTTCTGTTCTGTTCTAGTTCTGTTCTAGTTCTGTTCTAGTTCTGTTCTAGTTCTGTTCTAGTTCTGTTCTAGTTCTGTTCTAGTTCTGTTCTAGTTCTGTTCTAGTTCTGTTCTAGTTCTGTTCTAGTTCTGTTCTAGTTCTGTTCTAGTTCTGTTCTAGTTCTGTTCTAGTTCTGTTCTAGTTCTGTTCTAGTTCTGTTCTAGTTCTGTTCTGTTCTAGTTCTGTTCTAGTTCTGTTCTAGTTCTGTTCTAGTTCTGTTCTAGTTCTGTTCTAGTTCAGTTCTAGTTCAGTTCTAGTTCAGTTCTAGTTCAGTTCTAGTTCAGTTCTAGTTCAGTTCTAGTTCAGTTCTAGTTCAGTTCTAGTTCAGTTCTAGTTCAGTTCTAGTTCAGTTCTAGTTCTAGTTCAGTTCTAGTTCAGTTCTAGTTCAGTTCTAGTTCAGTTCTAGTTCAGTTCTAGTTCAGTTCTAGTTCAGTTCTAGTTCAGTTCTAGTTCAGTTCTAGTTCAGTTCTAGTTCAGTTCTAGTTCAGTTCTAGTTCAGTTCTAGTTCAGTTCTAGTTCAGTTCTAGTTCAGTTCTAGTTCAGTTCTAGTTCAGTTCTAGTTCAGTTCTAGTTCAGTTCTAGTTCAGTTCTAGTTCAGTTCTAGTTCAGTTCTAGTTCAGTTCTAGTTCAGTTCTAGTTCAGTTCTAGTTCAGTTCTAGTTCAGTTCTAGTTCAGTTCTAGTTCAGTTCTAGTTCAGTTCTAGTTCAGTTCTAGTTCAGTTCTAGTTCAGTTCTAGTTCAGTTCTAGTTCAGTTCTAGTTCAGTTCTAGTTCAGTTCTAGTTCAGTTCTAGTTCAGTTCTAGTTCAGTTCTAATTCAGTTCTATTTCTACATCAGTTCTACTTCAGTTCTAGTTCTCAAAGATTTCGTTTGTTTTTTAATCCTAGAATTTGATAGAATTTAAAAAAAAATATTTAAAATTTATTTATCGATTGTTTATTGCATTTGTGTTTTCTCTCTGTCTCTTTTTTTTCACTTAATTGTTGCTTTTATGAAACATGTCATTTAAAAGACTGAAAATTACTGTCGTCTGTCGGCGCTGTCATTTTTAGCGGCTGTCGATTTTGATGTTGCTGTTTGGTTGGCTGGTTGCTTGTCATTGGCAGTTGGTGTTGTTGTCATTGTTGTGTCGTTACTTGTTGTTGACAGTCATTGTCAAGGCGTGTCATTTGCGGCAACTATTTTAATGTGATTACCCTTAAGTACAGAGAATCAAACGATGGAACAGTCAGTCAAATAAACAACAACTACTAGTCAGTCTGTTGTCGCTCTATGAATGAATTTTGTAATACGTTGCAAGGCCATTAAATGACATTAAAGGTGTTGTAAAGTGGCAATAAATATTGCATTTTATTATATGGTAATATTGCGTTTATATAACTAAAAAAACTGTAATGTTTTATATTTTTATACAATGTAAATTGTAGCGTTTTGTGGAGAATTTAATAAAATGTTTTCATGGCAATGGGTGGGTGAGTTTGTTATATACATAGAAAGTTTTGTTAAAATTTTTATTAAATTTTAAACACATTTTTTTACTAAAGAACTTCTTAAAGATTCGTTTTCTTAATTTTTCTTTTATTCCATTTAGTTTTCTTAAATTTTTGTTTGATTTTTTTTTGTGGCTTTTGTTTCATTATAAGTGTCCTTGAAGTTTTTCGGTATTAAAATATATTTGTACAAACCAAAATTAAAAACTCTCTATTAAACATATGTATGTGTGAGTGTGTTTGTGTGTATATGTATTTTATTTTATAAATTATTTGTTGCTTTTTATATTAAAGTTTTCACCACCGCCATCTCTTTGCGTGACACAAAATGGAAAAAATAAAAAAATAATATGTAACAAATTAATGAGATTGTTAAACATTGTCGAGTATATATAAAATGAATGTCGTCTATATAAGACAGAAATATATATACAAACATATGTGTTCTTTATATACTAAAAAATAGCACTCCCACTCTTAAGCTTTGAATACCCAGTAGAAAATTTCGAATCAAAATCAGAGATGACAATAATTGAATATAAGGAAAGCTTTTTGTGAGAATTTGTTTAATAAATGGTTGCGATTTTCGACCTCTAAAGGACTCAATTTATAAGATCAAAAGCTTTATGAAATATTTTTTAACTCCTTAAATTTCCTACCGGGTCATATTTGTATTATTCCATTAAAGTGTTGGGTGTCTAATTTTTTTTGTAACAATTAAAATAGTTTTGCTTTTTGTGTTAAATAAAATAAAGCAATCAAAAAACTTAGACATTTATTTGCTCGCAAGACTTCTAAAACAAAAAGAAACGAGAACTTTCAAAAAGAAGTACTTAA